TCAAATAAATAAATAAAATCTTTAAAAAAAAAAAAAATTTGTCATATAATTAATTAGGGGCACCTGGGTGGCTTAGTCAGTTGGGTGGCCAACTCTTGATTTCAGCTCAGGTCATGGTCTTGGGGTCCTGAGGATCGAGCCCCACATCGGGTTCCGTGTTCGGTGGGGAATCTGCTTGAGGATCTTCCCTCTCCCTCTCTCTCTGTCCGCCCCCGCCCCTGCCCCCGCTCTCTCTAAAGAAAGTGAATGGATTAAAAAAAAAAAAAGAACTTGTCATAATAAGGAAAGATTCTTATTCTTCCTGAGCTGGCTGCAATAAATTACTTCCAAACCTAGAAGAAGAATAACTTGTTTTGTTGCCTTTCAGCCTCTGCTACACCACCCCACACCCAGGATCAGAAGCCAGTGCCAGATTTATTTCTATAAACACTTCAGGGTCCGTGGCATGACTGTGACCACTTATGGGATCCTTGAGATGGGGCAGGGGAGGGGAGGGGGAAGCAGGCATTGCGTGAGCCGAAGGTTTTCCCCATCAACACTTTTTCCTCACCATCTCTGCCGTTTAAATTTATTTTGTGCTACCTTATGGGTGTTTTATAAAACAGCAACCATCCAAGGGTATTTATCATCGTCTTTAGAAATGATGTGCGTTTTCCTGCCTCTAAGCTGGTTTTCATATACTTGGCTAATATACACAAACATTTGCTTTCATCAGTTCCAGATTCTGGAGTTGAGAAAAATGAGGTGGTTTAGGAAATGAAGACAGAGACAGAAGGAGGAACATTTTCACCAGCAAATATCTGGAATGTCCACAGTATACTCTGTCTGACGCTTTCCAAATTCTGTCTACCTCCTTGGAACCCTTGCCTCTACAGAATGAAGATGGAAAACCCATGAGCCACATGAGGTAACTGAAAGACCAAATCAGCATGTGTTCAATTCTTGGAGGTTCAACTATGAAAATAAAATAGGGGGCTGGATCCCGGCTGGGTCCTCCAAACAAACCACCCCAGCCCCCTTGGAGGACCTGGGCTTACTGGCACAGAGCAGACAGATGATGGAAGATGGACCAGAAAAATGGCCCAGAAGAGCCTAGGTTATTGGGACTGGGAAAAAAATGACATGATATAGCATTATATATTGATAAGAAAGACATATAAAACACAGACTGGTCCAGGATCGAGACATCTTGTAATAAGCACGGTGAGCTCACGAAAAATACGGGATGCACAGTGTGTGGATACCTGAAGCATTGGTGCGAATGTACAAGATTTCACTTTTGGCCCCACGGATGTGGTCGTTCTCCACCATGGTGAGGGTCACCGCCTTGACATACACAGCATACTGCGTCCAGGGCTTCAGTCCATGCAGTAGAATGCCAGGCTCGACGTCCTTGTTGGGAGGGAGGTCCACATCCACCATGTTCCAGCTGTTGGAGCCACAGGCATCCTGCCCATCATACTCCGTGACGTTTTTAAAAGGTCTAGAAAGACAGTGGATGAAGCTCAGAGGAAGGTTTAGGTCTCTGACATCAAAGCTCCCAGAAATCTTCCCTAGCGGCTTAGCACGTCACACTTTCTATAATGGGAATTCTAAATAAAACAAATAGTCCATTGGATTTGTATAGAAGAATAAAATGAAGCAACGGGACCCCAGGTTTTACCATATTTACAAACGCACTATAGAACTGCATACTCTGCCTCAGGAAGAGTAAATTCTAATTGTTACTGGGATTGAAAACACTGCTCCTTAAGCATGCAGGCAAAGGCTATTTTTCTCTCTTCCAATTGTGGCATTTTTCACCATTAAGAAAAAAAAACAAGCATAATCATTTCATGCAAACATCAGCTACTGATGAAGAAACAAACTTTTGGGGGAAAAGGACTTTTGCTACAGAAAAACAGCTTCTACAATAGAGCTTCCAAAATCTCATTTGCTGGCAAACAACCGTGATTGCTTAAGTATCTTATAATACTCAAATATTTAACTTCCAGATTCTCTCCGATACTAGCATCAACTCCTTGGTGAGATTACCAGCCGACATTGCCAAAGCACTGGGGATCTATCAAAGAGAAGAAAGTATTTTGCACACATGCTTGGGTGGGTAGGGATTCTCCAGCTAGCAGATGAAAGGGCTGGACAGCCCCTGCCGCTGGCTTCTGAAACAGATGTTAACCTACCCTATCCTCACGACGGAAGACCACGAATGACTCCCATCCATAAATACACTGAACACCTAATGATCCCGAGACTTGCTTTTTTTCATGGCTATAACCCCGGAGAAAGGGGACCAGATACTGTCATTGGTGGCTCTTGTTCCAGCTCTGAGGAAGCCAATCATCGGGGAAGGAGACCTATAGCATCAACAGTGGGAGCTGGATACGGAAGGTAACTAAGGAGGCTGGTGGAACCACTTGGATAAGGAGGCAAAGAAAGGAAGAGGGGGACCAAAAGAGCTACCATCTGGAGGAACAAGTCATGGCTGCTGAGGCAGGTGAAGATCACCGGAAGGCACAAGAAAAGCCCCCAGCAGATTTTGGGAGAAATCATGAAAGGTTCAGAACATGAAGGTCAGTCTCTCTCCATTTTCCTTCCCTAGTTCGTGACCTAGAGCAGAGGACCAGGTCTTGGGAAGGGCTCATGGAATAAGATGATAGATCTGTCTGGGGGTCACCTCCAGGGGAGCTGAGCATCCTGTGGGGTGTTCCTGGAGTATGGGTTACAGGGCACATCCTCTATCCCACTTCATGAATGTTGGGACTTTACCCACAGCCCCGCCCACAGGACACCACAGAAACTCACGCTTCCTTGTAGTAGACAGTGAAGCTGATGAGGTCCCTGTAGTCGGGGGGCCGGTAACGGTGCCATGTTATAATGATGCGATTCTTCCACGTGGTCGTAGAGGTGAAATGCAGGACATCACTTTCACCTGGGGCACAAAGGTATATCTGTGAGTGACAGAGATCAACGTCCGTTTCCTCCACATGTCTGACAAGTCACCTGCCCTGCCCTATTTCCCTCTTCTCCAAAGATGGCTGTACACGCCAAGTCCCTTCCTGGACTTCTCCGTGGCTCTCTTATTTCTACTAAGAGCCCAGACATTTTACCACACGGAGCTGCAACGAAGCTCGTTCCTTTGTTTTAGCACACTTGGTTGCACTTGGACCCGAATCTGTGATTCCTGACCTGACAGGGAAGAACTGCTTGATTGAGCAAGGCACCTGGTCTTTCTGCTGATCCCTAAGACCTGGGCTCCCGAGGGGACCAGGGAAGGTGAGGATAAACCCTTAAGCTGGGCTGAATCTTCTGCAATAGGTTGGCACCTGTCCTGCAGTTGCGGATCTCTACCTGCTTCTGTGCAACCAGCAAAGACAGGCGAATGGCCCAGGTTGCCACAGGGGGGCACGTTTCTGCCTCTAAACTTGGCATCGACCTGGAAGGGCATGGGCAGTCCTGGAAGGCCTCTGGCTGGGGCTGACACACTGACAAGAACAGTGTCATTGGCCAAGCCTCCTGTGCACTGTGGGAAGTCGCTGGGGAGCTACAGCAGGGACCCTGCCCTGAGCCCCGACTTATTCCTCCGGCCAGATTCAAACGACCTTGAGAACTAGGGTGGAGTTGCTGACTGCTTCCCCCACGGAGACCCAAAGCTCCCCGACGGACTGTCTTGCCTGCCTCTATTTGCCTGAACCCCGACACATACGCAGCAGGTGAAGCAGTGGCTGATTCAAAGTTTACTGCTTAAAGTTTACTTTAACTGGCTAAAGGCAGTTAAACGTAAGAAGTCAGTGGGGCAAAATGTGCCAGATCGGAGGTTAGAACAAAGTTGCAGTTCCTGCTAATGTGTCATTTAAGGAGAAACCATGATTTTGTTTTCAAAGGAAAATGAATGGCTTCTGTATTCACAATGTGACTGCTCAGACTGGCTGACCTGGAGGAGAAAACACCTGGAAAATGCTCAGCCACATCTGCTCTGCTATGATTCGAACAGGGGGAACGGTACGGGGCTGCAGTGGGCGGGTGAGGGAGAAGGGGCCGGTTGCCAGCACACCATGCCGTTCCGTGTCAGGCCTCTTCCCTCTAAAAGCTCTTCCAGAGCAATCTGAGTGTCTACCAGGTAAATCCATACACCAGCAAAACTAATCAGTCAAATGCTAATGGTTTCACAAGTCCTCCCCTCCCGTGTGTGCGTGTGTGTGTGTGTGTGTATGCATGTGTGCAAATCACCTCTGATCATGTAAATTACTCTATTTTTTTTTTCCCTAGGACCCTTCCCTTATTAAAAGCCGATGGCGGAGAGACAATTTACTTTTATAACCCTATCCAGCCAAACAGAACCACAACATTTTCAAAAGCGGCTTGATATGCAGGGTTAGATGAGAGACGTGCTGTTAGATCTCAGATACAAGACCTGAAAGTATATAACCACGGCAAGGTTATAATTATGTGATTCTCAATTTAAAAAGCAGTATCCGTTCAGGGAGGTAGGTTCTATCTTTTTCGTGTTGGGGTGGGAGCAAGGAGAAGGCCGAGGGAGAGACAGGGAACCCATGGCCACCACGCTGGGCTTGGAGCTCAGTCCCCTCTGCCCTGAGGCTTCCCCTACACTGTGGGAGACTGAGCTGAGCATGCTCCCCGGCAGTGGAGAGGACCGGCTCTTCCTTGAAAAATCATCTGTCTGCCTGTGCCTTAAAAGACATTGAGCCCTGCATTCTGTAAGCACTTCCATAAAATACTCCCTTTGAGCAGAAGCCTATTTACAAATGCTTAGCACACTCCTAGGGATGCTAAGGAACATTGACAAATACGAATCTGTCATGAATCGGCCCCACTACTGACTCTGAAGATACACACACGTATGGGCAAAGTGCTGGTTCAGAAGGCCCCGTGTCCGTCCCCCCACCCCACCCCAGTGAGATGAGGAGGGGGCCACCCACGGAGCCATCATTCTAGATCGGAGGAGGGGCCACAGGCTGTTGGGTCCACTCACAGGAAGCTCGCTCTCCGTTGTTCCTGGTGTTTATGTCCCCTTTGCTCTGGCGCCCCTTAGTCCCTGTCACTTCCTCCATGCGGTAAATCTCGGAGACGCACAATTTGGGATTGAAAGCAAAGTACATTTTCCCAGCTTTGATGGTCAGGTTGCGGTGGTCCCAGTCCCACAGCTGCTGCAAGTTCTGGTTGTCCAGGACATAGAAGGAGTAGTTCCTAGAAGCACAGAAATCACCGTGAGTGCTCTTGCCCTTTCCCAGTGTCCCCTCCCACCTGCTGGCCACCCCACACCAGTCCTCTTCCGCATGTGGCTCCGGAACACGCTGCCTTTGCCAATGAGAGATTTAGTTATTAACAGTGTGTAAGAGTGGACAGTTACTGTTAACAATAGCAACAACATGATTCAAGGACAACATATTGAAATCGGTAAGACACTAATTAATTTTAGGACCTCCAACAATAACGCTTCTCACACCAGAGGATATTACTGGAATCATTCTGTAGAAATGCCTTTGGGTATTTCTCTCAGAGCAGAGTATGTATAATGCACTCAAAATCAGTCCATGGGAGAACAGATATGCTCGGCTACTCAACCGGAACGGCTTACATATTTGCTATAGAGAGTCTGCCATTATCCTTAGGGGTAAATCCCGTCCGTGCCATCAGCGGCGTATGATGGGTTAGGGAGACAATGGGACAGGGAGACAGACTCGGTGGTGGACCAGCCCTGGGCCCGCTCCCTCCTCCAGATTCACCCCATCCTAAAAAGCCTCAACCAGAGCCTCTAGAGAAAGTGGGCCACCCATCCAGGCCACAGTGACTCACACTAGGTTAGTGTGCGCAAGGTTTGTTTTCGGAGTGCTGGGCCCCACTCCCAGAGTTTCTCGTTAGTAGGGCTGGGTGGGCCAAGAATCTGCATTGCTGACCTGCACACAGGGGATGCAGGGGAGCACCCTTGGAGGAGAACTGGTCTAACAGGTGCTGGGCACCAACAAGGAGCTGGAGGTCCAAAGCTGACCAAGTGAGATATGGGCCCTGCCCCTAGGGGTATGCACACAGAAGCAGCTACACCTGCCGACTGAAGGAAAGACGGAAGGACGGCCAGAATCAGCAACAGCTATCTCTGGCTCCCCAGAGGGAAATCCATGCCCCGGGAGGTGGCAGTGTAGACAGCTACAGCTGAGGGGTCTGGAGAAAAATCCAGGCCGTATACCTCTTTTTCTAGGGCCCTGGGGAAACCAGGTAGGCAGGGCCATGCTGCCCATCCAAGTCCTCCGTGATCAAAGGTCTGCTCCCCATGGACCTTGAATCCTTCCTCACCCCTTCCTGGTCCCCAGCCTCAGGCTCTTTCTGGAGCTCACTCAAGCACTTTATACAGAACAGAGTCTGGGAATTGGTGCAGCACTCTGAGCTATTGCTAATATCCACTGAACAATCCAACACACAAACTGCAGAGAGGAAAGGATCCAGCCCTCTTTCCAAAGCCAGGATAGCCTGGACAGAAGTCCAGAGCCCTCCTCTGCCCTGGAGGCTGTGTCCATGGGGCACCTCTCTGCACCTGATGGGGTTCCTCACACATATCATACCAGCACCTCTACCCGTCTGGTCGATCCTCAGCCTGAGTCTCATTAAGAAGAAAGCTAAAGTTATGGTTATAATGCTGCCAAGCAGACTTGTGACACATGCCTGGGAATTCACAGGGGAGTTCAGAGACGAGGATCCAGGAGTACAAATGTCATTAATGAGCCACGTAGCCATAGGCAGTTCCCTCAGTACTTTCTGTAGCCATCCGTCTAGTTTACTTGTAGCACTGGGGGTGGGGGCATGAACACACACTCAGAGGACAACAAGGGGTATGAACATCTGAGCTTGTTTTATGAGTCTAAGACTCTAATGCCCGGGAGGAGTCACAGAGCTGAGATGGAATTTGCCCCATCAGCCTGAGCCCAAGCCCTCCACAAGCCCTGGGCCCCGTCCACAGACGTGCAGGGGGTGGATGTGGGAACCCTGCCTGCACACGGTTCAGTGAGCCAAGTGAGTCCAAAGGCAGACCTCTGAAACCAAGCTAGCCTCCTCACTGACCCACCTTGAGATCCCGTGACACATTCAAGGCCACCGAAGCAGGTTTGCAAAAACCTGCGAGTCGATAATATTTTCCTCTCAGGAAGAGCTCACTCCCTGACACATATATCCACTGGAAAAGGAACTTAAGACATTGTCCACATGAATCTAGACTCGGGATATGCAACGCAAGGCCATGTATACAAGTGGGAAGCACTGGGATCTGGCAAGGTGAGACCTGCCATACCTTGGGGACAGTCGCCACCCACATCTCCTCTTTCCCCCAGTGCCAGGCTGCAGCTGATGCTGGGTGACCTGGGTCTTCAGACCACTGAAGGCGGGGTTTGCAGGTAGAAACAGATGCCTCCTATGTAGGCCCATTCTCGTCCACGAATACTTTCAGTTCTGAAGGACTCTGTAGTGCCCGTACCAAGCCCAATGGGTCTGGCCGCTCCCAGGTTCCTCAGCTGGCCCCCAAGGGACAGAACCTCCTTGTTGGTGCAGAAACCTCTAGGCTGGAAGTAAAGGCCCATTAACCCGGTCAAACCTCTGTCTCAACGCAGGATGAGGCTTCTTTTTAGTAAACTAATTTTGCTGGCAGGGAACAGAAACCACACTGAAAATACCTTCTGAACAAAACATGCTTCTCCCCATGGGAGGAAGCATGAATTATAAATCAGGAATTTGACAAATGAATGGCAGGCCCACTGAAATTCTGTGTGTGTGATTAATCACTTTGAAAAGGAAGATTATCTTTTTACAGTAAACACAAACATTTTTTACAACACTAAGAAGGCCTGGAGCCAGGATACCAATATCAATAAAACCCAGGCGTCACGGAGCCTCTGTGAGCGACAGAAAAATAAAAATAAAACCCTCATCAGAATAATAACCAAGCCATTCATGAGCTGCCTGTCAATATTGCTCTCGCTTTTCCAACCCCAGGTTGGGGCCTGGCTCCCCCCAAATTCCCCTTCCATGATCAGGTGACAATTAAGAGATGGTAAAAGGCAGAGACCGCTCTGCATGTTTTACACACACACACACACACACACACACACACCCCTTTTCATTGTTTCCTAAAGGAAATGACTATATAAGTCAATTACTCAGTAAATGTCATTTCCTAATTGTTCCTAAACTTACTGCCTTTACATTCAAAGAATATTTTAAAAAATTAAGTTGTTTATTTTTACTGTAGCTTACACAGATGCATGGGTTTTATAGATATCGGTATCCTGACTCCCAGCCTTCTTAGTGTGGCAAAATATGTTTGTTTCTGTACTTGGGTGGGTCCCATCTGACAAAATGTAGACCAACTGAGGTGGGCTGGAAGCAGTCAGTCGTGTCCATGAGGATATCTGTATATTATCTGTATTGGTATTCTGAATGCCGAGCACACACTATACACAGAGGTGTTTAACTGATGGCTCCAGGCTTGGGGCTATCTTACCTCTGAATTATCAACAACCACCCACCTCCCCACCTGCCCTGATGAAGGGCAGGAAGGATGTGAAAGCAGAGGAAAGCGAAAGTGCTGGGGATTTGCACAGTGCACAGAAGTCAACCCCGGGGCTAGGGTTTGGAGCATTGCATTTGAGAATCCAAAGAACAGGGTCTGAGCGACATCTCCACCACTTACTAGAGCAACAACGCTAGGCAAAGTACTTATTTGGCTTCTCCCAGGGTGGGGGCAAAGGGTGTGGCCTGGGAGTCCAGACAACGGGGGTAGGAAGGGATACTCCTCCCCCACTTTCAGCCTTTACTGACAAATTGGGGGGGAAAATCTGCAAATATACAACTGATTATTCCCTTTTGCTTCTCAGAGGAGAAAGCATGGACTCTTTCCGGCTGTCTCTAGGGGGCATCAGAACCCAGCACACAGGGACTACCTCCAGCATCCTAGCAATCTGCAACAGATACAGGATTTGGCTTTTTCCGCAGATGCTCACACCATATCCAATCTCCTCCAAATCCAGTATTTACACCAACGTTGGGGGTTCAGCAACGGTGGGAATTTATATTCAAGTGGCACTGGGTACCAAACTGAATCTCAGAAAATGTTTCTTCTTTGAGGGTTTTCTAAATAGCTTAATTGAGGTATAATTTACCTACCAAAAATTGTACCCATCCTAAGTATACAGAGCCATGAGCTTCAGTAAATACATGCAGCTGTTCCACCAGCACCACTATGCAGTTTCTGAACATTTCCATGATGTCAAAGTTCCCTCCCTGCCAATGGTGGTCAATCTCTGCTCCTACCCCCAGCCCTCGCCAATCTGCTTTCTATCCCTATAGTTTTGCTTTTGCTAGAAACTAATGGATTCATACAATGTGCAGCCTTTTGTGTCTGGCTTTTTTTCACTTAGCTTAACGTTTCCGAGGTTCACCCACGTTGTTACATTATCGTCAAATGGTATTCCATTGTACCACATTTCGTTTATCCGTTCATCTGCTGATGGATATCTGGATTGTTTCCAGTGGGGTTTTTTTTGGGGGGGGGCGGGTAGGGGGCTCTAGTGAATAATACTGTTATGAACATTCACATTCAAGTCTTGTGTGGGCATGTTTTCATTTCTCTTGGGAAGATACTGGGTAGAGCCTGGAATTGCTGAGTCACATGGTTGAGTCTTTATTTTTAAAAGTCCCAGGGAAGTATTAACACCAGCCCTGTTGCAACCTAATCTTAGAGTTGCAGGAAGGTAGAATGAAGCACCAAGTGTTGCAAAGTCAAGTGGTGGGGTCATGAGTACAGAGATGCCTAAATGCACCCAAGAATTTCAAGTCTTAGAACCCTACCACCTCCATCTGCTTTTAGGCTTTTCGGGGCAACGATCCTTGGTGGCACCAAAGAATCCGAAATTTTACCTCTTTCTTCGTCTGATGCCATAAGAAAATAATGTTTGTCCACCTTAAGGAACTGTCCAGATAACAGAAATATTTTGTTTTCTACTCAAGGGCTTAAAACTCAGTCATTTTATAGAAATCTTATACATGTGTATTACAAAATCCACTTCCTTCCTAAACAGCAGAAAAACCTTGATTTTCTTAATGTCTAAGGTTATTACTCTAGAAACACATCACGTAAACAGACTGCGTGACATCCTCAAGGAAACTGGGATGTCTGAGTTCTTATGGACAAACATGACTGCCTGATGCCGTCCGGGCCTTGTTCTCCAGCCACCAACTGCCCTGCCGTCTGTTTGGGTGTGATTCTGCCTACATATTTCACCACCCTGGAAATCCAATGACAAAATTGGCTCACTCTGGATATAGACTAGAGCTCTACTCCAGCTACAGTGCTTGAATTTCATGTTCTGGATGTGACTCGGTGGTCTGGGCTGCTCAGGTGACTTGGAGGGAGGTCTTGGTTCCAGTTTGGAAAGCCAAGGTAGTCAGATACAGAGGATCCCGGCACTATGGATTCGTCTGTTCTCCATCAAAACAAAATGCTATAAAACTCCCATCCTATTGAACCAAATGGAGGCACTTATTTATGTTCTCACTGGCTGTAGAAGTTCAAGAAAAATAGTACTTAAAGGCAACAGTGTGACACTTAAATATTTAGGAAAAAAGGCAAAACACTTTAGGGATTCACATATGAGAAGAAAAAATAACAGGGCATAGCAGTGGTATCCAATCTTGGCTACATACTGAAATTACTTTGGATTTTGAGAAAAATCATTGATGCCTGGATCCCACCCCCAAACATTCTGACTGAATTGGGATTGCATCTTGGGTTACTGGGATTTTTTTTTTTTTTTTTTTTTTACACCTGGCCCCACCCAAGATGTTGTTCTAACGTCAAAGTCTGGGAACAACTGGGATAAAAGTTATCTTGGCTTAAACCAAAGACACACAGAAATGAAACATCCAGACAGCTTTGCTAACACTCCTGCAGCTCAAAAGCCTTGAATACATTCCATTGCCTACCTAAATTATAACCTCCACGCCCGGGTGCATAACACCTTACGTAATTCTAATACCACCTACCTCTCCAGCATTATTTGCCAAACAGGTCCCAGGATGCCCCAACTCGCTGCCTTTGTTCTTACTGCCCTATCCTGAACTGCCTTCTTCACCCTCTGCTTTCTGAGTGTTTCTGGAAACCCTTCAAGGCCCATCTCAAATGCCACCTCTTCTTGAAAGCCTGTGGGATCTTCTTAATCAGATTCTCTGCCTCTTTTTCATGCCCATGGCACGTTCCTTTTCTTCTCCTCATAGCTCCTTGCAAGTTCTGCTTTGCACTGTTGTTAGCTTTTATCTGTTTATCATATTCCTTTCTTCTCTGCCTCCCTCTGACTCTTCCCTCCTTGCAGGAGTGAGGAGAGCTGGTCAAGGGCTAGAACTTAGTCTCTTTCCTAAGTCTGAGGATGCACAATAAAGAGCTGAATTGTTGCTACTTGTCATGCCAATACAAAGAGCTGCGGGGGCATTCATCACAAGTGAGGATGGCCTATACCTTTTTTGATCCTGGGTGAGAAAGGCCGGTGAGAGAACCCAACTCCCACCAAGATAGGCAAGATTCTCAAGCACCCCAGCTAAAGAGAGAGCCTCCAAGAAGCAGCATGTAGGAAGGAAAGGCTGGAAGCCCAGCATCCTCAGAGCTACAAGGGCCACTGATGAGCAGCAGGGTGTGAAAACCTAAGGCCCGTTTGCCCTCCCTTGTCATCTAAAATGTTAACGGCAGAGCAGGGACCTGAAGCATACTTGAGCTTGGAGGAGTCCCAAACACCTGAGCAATGGCAGGCATCCTTAAAGAGCCCCCACTGGCACATCAGGTTTTATACAAGTTTCGGATAATGAGAAATGCGCCTTAAATATCCGTGCAAATGAAAATCAGTCTTAGTTCTCAGCTCCATATAAGGGCATAATACTTTCAGTTAACACATGACTAAGAGGTAATCCCAGCGTGTAATAATTCTTAACCAAAATTAAATTCTTGGGGTGCCTGGGTGGCTCAGTCTGAGCATTGGATTCTTGGTTTCAGCTCAAGTCATGATCTCAGGGTTGCGAGATCGAGCCCCAATTTGGGATCCATGCTCAGTGTGGAGTCTGCTGGAGATTCTCTCCTCTTTTCTCTCCCTCCCCCTCTGCTCCTCCCCTGTCCTCTCTCCCGAATGAATGAATGAATGAATGAATGAATAAATAAAATCTTTAAAAAATTAAATTCTCCTTCCAGTTTCCCCCTCTATGTCTATCACTTGTTCAACCTGGAGAAAGAAAATGTGTATCATTAAGCAGCAGGAAAAGTGTCAGATCCCGATCTGCCAAAAAAAAAAAAAAAAAGTGCTTACCAACACGAGGGATTCCAGAAACACAAACCTACCTGGAGAGAGAGGAAAAAAAAAAAAAAAACTGTGCTAAAATTCACTTTAAAATTTAATACAAAAAATGAGAACTACCACCTCAAAATGGTAGAGCCTCAGCTTGCCAAGTTAAATGACTTATGACCCTCTGGGGCTGGGCACGGTGGCAGCCTCCTTGGATTTGCAAGGAGAAAGAAGTTTTTTTTCCTAGAGAATCAGTGTTCTCAGTGGGGAGGACAGTGTGCTTTTCAAGGATGGAATGAAGAGCTGCCCTCTCTCTTTAGCTGTATCAGATGATGGAATTTTAAGAATTTAAGACTGACCAAGAGTTAGTCTGAGAAAAGCAGGGAGGCTGTAAAGAAACCCTTATGGGGGTAACTTTATCCAGTTGGGGCAGATAAATCAGCAAGGACAACCTTTCCCATGACCTTCCCACCTCTTTCTTTCCTACAGTATTTCCCCACATTCTCTTTGGAAGGAATTTGCTCGTTAATCGATGTCTCCTTTTATTTCAAAGCTGTATTTAAAGGAAGTATGAAGAGAAAGGTATATATGCAGAGGTACACAGGCAATAAGCAAACTAAAGCAATAAGCACGAGCTCTTATCTATCCTGTGGTGAAAAGCCTCTGGTGAGTTTAAAACCCATATCACAAAGCCTATCTCTGCAGAAGGCAAAAATTCTACCAGGAGTGTAAATCCTCTTGGCTCATCAATGAAACAATTATGTCAATTAGGATTCCTTTATAACAAAATGAACTATCCATACTCCTCTAAATCTCTTATGTTCCAGTATACACTTTACCCCTGATAACGTGGGGGTTTGGGCGTGGACACTCCGAACAGTCACCAATTCACACAGAATTGTTGACATCCTCCAAACTTAACTACTAATAGTCTACTGTTGACCAGAAGTCTTATGATAACATAAACACTTGATTGACACATATTTTGTATGTTATATGCACGATGTACTGCATTCTTACAATGAAGTCAGCTGGAGAAAATATTATTTAAAAAAATCATAAGGAAAATACATTTACAGTCCTATACTGTATTTATCCAAACAAAACAAAACAAAACAAAATTGTGTCCAAGTGGACTCGCACAATTCAAACCATGTTGTTCAAGGGTCAACTGTTTTTCTTCTTTTCTTGTTTGTTTTTTTTTAAGATTTTATTTATTTACTTATTTGAGAGAGAAGCAGGGCGGTGGGGAGGAGCAGAGGGAGAGGGACAAGCCGACTCTGCATTGAGTGCGGAGCCTGATGTGGGGCTCGATCCTATGACCCTGAGATCATGACCTGAGCTGAAATCAAGAGTCGGACGCTCAACCGACTGAGCCACCCAGGTGCCCCCGTATTTTAAAAAAAAGGAATGGTTTTACGTAGTATATAGAATCCTGGGGTAAGAGTCATGTCAATGATGATTTCACAAAGGGCTAAGCACCTGAGACCCATTCCTGTTGCTCTTGGCACAGAGGGTCCCCACCAGCACCCCAGTCTGTAGTTTCCATGATCACAGTTGGACACGCAGCCCTTGACTGACAGGTCACAACACAGTTCTCCAGAACAGCACTATCCCAAGGATGGAGAATCATGGCCGCACGGGACTCTGCCCGAGGGGGTGGGCCATCACGCAGGTGGGGCCGACCTTACCTTTGCTTCCTCCTTTCTTCTTTGTAACAAGAAAGAGTCCTTGCCTCAGTGACGTCGAGTTTTAAAAGCACGCTACTTATTTTGTAATAGGAGAATGTCAGCCCATGAAATCTGGAGCACTTACCCTTCTAGCTGCTCCTCTCCTAAGATCTGGCGAAGGTTTTTTAGGAAGGACAAGGAGACCAAGGCGTGAGAATGGCGGATCTTCACGTAGCCTGTCACCACCTCGATGAGCCCCATGAAGTTCTCCAGTTCTGAGGCGATGTTATCTGCGTGAGGAGGGGGACGTGTTAGTGAGCGTTCGCGTAGTGTGAGCATGACTTGGTTTCTCGCAAAAACGTCTGGAGAATGATTCCGTGGCAGGTCTTGGTGCAGGACCCGCCATCCCTGTCAAAAATGTACTACCCTGGGCTTGACTTTCAACAACCTCTCCTGGGACAGGGCCCCTCAGGGGCCGGGGAAGGAGGCTTTCTAGAAGGCTGGGTACTGTAGCTCCCAGGCTGATTAACCGAATGTAAAATCATAAATACCAGACTGCCAATTAGCTAAGGCTGACAAATCTAGGGAACGTCTTTTAATACGCTCTGTCAACAGACAGCACTGCCTCCACGGGAGGGCATGACTAAATAAACAACATTTTCTCGGTCTCATTAGGAACTGCCTTTGCTGCATTTCCAGTTCCTAAGATACAGGGATCTATATTTAAAGAGTCCATCTTACCAAGACTGGGATAAAACACACCAAAATGTTAACACACCAGGTTCTCTGCTCTGCTGATTTTTCAAAATTCGTTTCTGTGCTTCTAAGTTTTCTACAATGCACACGTATGATTTTCGTAACGAGAGGACAGTTGGAAAAATAGTTGCTACTACTACGTATGTGAAAACAACATAATATATACACACTGTCTTTCTCATCATCCTGTTTAGCCTGTCTTTTCCTCATAGTAAAAAAGAACATAAACTTCGGTTCGACTTATGCCAAAATTACAATAAATACTATAATGAATTGGGTATGGTCCAACTAATGGGATTTTATTGCACATGATTTGTTGAAGGCTTATTTAATGAGAGGTTCTATTTTGCTTTGATAAAAATAAAAGAATAAGGATGCTATCTTGGAGGGCTGGGGACTATGCTTATTGTAGAGTTTAATGGTTTTCTAGGAGAAATTCAAGTTATAAACACCAGAAGTTGCCTGTGGTTGATATTTCAAGGAAAAGATCCTGAATTTTAAATGCCGGCAAGATGGATGTCTGTTAGTCGAGGCTGGGTATGTCCTTTTCAATGAGATGTCTTATCACCCTACATCCAGCTGATATCTCCCACTGGACTTAAACAAGAAGGCACATTTCATCACCACGCATGAATATGTACCGATTCCTTCTCAAATTCTACTTCTCCCTGGATTTAATTCATGGATTAAAGGCTTATCTTCAGGATATGAAAATTTTAAGAAAAAGAAGAATTAGGTACTTAAAAGGTATGTTCTAGGGGATGAGGGCATCTTTTCAAAAATTAAGAAATCTAGTAAAAGCAAAAGGAATAAAACTTCATTATTTATTCATTTATTATTATTATTTTTTAAGTAAGCTCCATGCCCAGCATGGAGCCGAATGCCAGGCTCAAACTCATGACCCTGAGATCAAGACCTGACCTGAGATCCACAGTCGGACGCTTAACCCGCTGAGCCACCCAGGTGCCCCAGGAATAAAACTGCAGAAGCACCATGAGGGTAAGAGAGTTCTAGCTGTATGAAAGCAAAGTTATCTCTGTGGTGGAGGGGTGAGAGGGGTTCTGGAAAATGAGGAGTACCTAAAGATCCAAAAGGACTGAACACAAATGTGTTTCTGCCATCTCTAAACCATAAGAGCATGCTCACTCACCAAACAAACAGTATTAAGGAACAGTAAATCCACAGAATAAATAAATTAGTCATCCTCCACCCCGCCCCCCCACGCCAACCTGCAAAAATTTCTCCACAAAAGGATTTAGGGAAAAAAAATCCTTTCAACCTCAAGTTTCTCAACCTCAACCTTGAGGTTGAGAAACTTTTATTCTAGGTTATGAAACTATCATAGGTACCTTGACCAAGTGGTCCCAGTGGTGGAGAATTTAAGGCTAGAAGCCATTGTCAGTTAAAGCTCAGAAGTGAAAATATCACAGAGTAAGTCCATGAGTAATGCTTTTGCACACACGCAATTACCAGGAACACCGTCTACTACAAATGATGGTGATCCTACCGGGGTGAGAATCGAAGCTTTAAATACGTGGTGACACACACTATTTTTTTTTTTTTTTTTTTTTTTGCTCTCCAAAGAAAATTTGGAGATTAACCACTCTTTGGACTTAATAAAATATTAAAGGGGTATCATTAAACTGTTCCCTTTGCACAGTCTCCTCGGTACCTCCCAAGTAACCAAAACTCTTTGGACTTGAAGCCCTGTGGCCCTGGTCCAGCTGGAGGCTGCTGAGTCACACTTTTGATCCACCAGCGTCTTCTGGGGCCTGTGTGTGTTGGGACGTGCATCTCCTGCGTAAGGCAGGGCTAACAGAAACATGAGTGATGACCCAGGGCGTGAATAAACGCCGAGCCAATGGCTACAAAATAGACTGCCTTTCAATCTGGGTTTTTGTGTGTGTGTGTGTGTGTCTGTTTTTAATCTTTGAGGGAAACTCAAAAAAGAGGTGTTGAGCATGAGGCTTATGCCCCATGTTGTTTTTCTAGGCCCAGGCTTCAGTTGTGAGTCATGGATGGGAAGGAAAAGCATCAACAAAAGAAAACCAAGAGAGCCAGCCCTCTCGTCCAGGAGGACGGAATACTTACTGCCTCGGCGGATATTAATGAGCAAATTGCCCTTGAAGATGGTGCATCCTTGGAGCATTTGAGCAGAGGTAACAGAATCAATGGTTTTTGTTTTCTTTTCTTCCTCACAGACCTTGGGGCAAGGACCTTCACAAGGGATGCAGTACATGCTGTTGAAGATAAAGAATCAACCAAAAACACAGAGAACTGAGTCAGGCTCCTTGCATTAAAAAAAAAAAAAAAATCATGAAGACACCCTTTTATTCTAAGTTGTTTTTGCAGTACACATTACCAAAAGCAACTGTTTTGAAGCATTCAAGTGGGCACACCATATCTCATCCCGAAGCCACCCAGGATCAGCCATTCGAATTGCAACCAAAAGAAGAAAGTGCCTACAAAGGAAAAGCATGCCTCTTGTTTCCAGACAAAATATGTGATGCAGCCTTGGAGCATGTGTGTATCAGAGGCTGTCGGCTAGGGAGCCAGCTGGTTCCATGTGGGAGAAACAGCCTTGAAGGAAGGACACAGTAGTGGCTCCCGAGGAAAATGGGGCTGCTCTCCAGTGTTGTGGCCTTGCCCGGCACACCCCGGGGTGGGGGGGCAGCTGGGAGACTGGACTGGGACAGCAAAGGGACAGCGGGGTCTCTGCCACTAACAGGAGTCTCGCTCTCACCACCAGCATCCCAGCAAAACCCAGCAAGGAATTCCAAAGTACATGTGGAATAACACAGATCCATTATTTTCTTGCTAAGGTACAACTGAAATTATTTCTTTTTTTTTTCACTGAAATTATTTCTTGACAGTGTTTTGCAGAAACTTGTAAATCGATTGAAATGTTGTTTTCGTTGCATATGCGCTGAAAGCAAGGAACTTCCATGACTTTGTAATGAACTCCTGTTTCAAATGCTATATCCCAAACGAGCTGCAGGACCACCAGGAATCAGGAATCAGTGAGACTGGCACTTCTCCTGCTTACCTACCATTATTAATTTAAGAAATCGTGGACAAAATGCTAATCTGGCTGCCGAACCACAGACCAAGGATCAAAGTCGGGTTGATTTCCAAACAAATGATACCGCTATGTCATGTGTGTGTGTTATAAACAGGACGGTGAATTGGGGAGCCAGGTGTATTGACATTATTGTTCTTGAATGATCTTTTAAACTTCATTAAGGTAAATAAAAAACATTCAAGAAAACAGTGTAAGTGATAGCTTACGTGAAAGTTTGTTTTTTTTAATGAAACCTTACCGCCTATCTAAGGCAAAGATGCAGGGATTTGTTTTGTTTACAAACTTACAGGTAAACAAAATTTCCCTGCTATTTTCCTATTTCTTGTGGGGAGAATGACAGGGAAGGTTTCCCAAGGAACTGGGCCAATCACAGAAGGGAAGATTTCTCTTTCCTGTAACATCATACTCAACCTTCTCTATGGGTAATAGCTTCTCTTCAGCACTTTTTGGTTTTGTTTTTTATTCTAATTTATCTACATACCATTTAATGCCTCCACTCTCCTTCTTTAAAAAACTTTTTATCCTGAAATATTCACAGAAAGTTACAAAGAGTATTTTCCCCCTGTACCCTTCCCCTAGTTTCCCCTAATGGTGACATCTTATATAACTATAATGGAATATCAAACCCAGGAAATTAACACTGGTACAATGTATGTCTAATTCCGTGTCACCTTATATCTCTTATGTGATCTTCACGTGGTCAAGATACAGAAGTACTTTAGGAAGATCTCCCGTAGAGCCACCCCCTATCCTCATATCCCTAACTGTGTCCTGGCAATAACTCATCTATATTCCATCACTGCAATTTTGTCATTTTGAGACTGTTATATAAATGGAGTTCTATAGTATGTGACCTTTTGAGATCGGCTTTTTTTCTTCCCCCCACACAGCATAATGTCCTTGAGATCTATCCCAAGCTGTTGTGTATTTCAACAGTTTGCTCTTTTTTATGGTTGAATAATAGTCCATGGTATGAATGTACCACAGTCTGTTTAACCATTTACCTACTGTAGAACATCTGAGCTGTTTTTTTGGCTATTACAAATGGAGCTGCTGTGAACAACTGTGTACGTGTTGTTACGTGGACATATATTTTCATTTCTCTGGGAGGAGTGTCCATGAGTATGACTTCTAGGTCGTAATGTTAAGTGTATGTTTAGCTTTCCCCGACATTTTATTCAAATAGCAATTTCTGAACCAAACACCTTTACTAAAATGTCTAGGAATCATCTAGCACTTCAAAAAAACGTTTTTCTAAGGAAGTGTTCTGATTACATGTTTATAGATTAAGCTTCCTTGAATCCATTTGGGTACAGGGAGGGTATAAACAGTATTAATAAGTATTTTAAACTCAGTGCCAAATAGGTCTTAAAGGTTGAGGGTGGTATTTATTCTTTCTTGACGGTGTTTTATTTTAAAATAGAAGAGGTACATCTGTAGCTTTGAACAGACTATAAGAACCGGTAGGGAATAAAACAGCTCAGTTCTTTGAAAATGCACTGCAGTGGGAGAAACAACACCGCTGAAATGCATAGCACTCCCCTCCTGCTGGTCCACTACATCACAGGACAATGTATCCCCAGGACAAAGATGGTACTACTCCCAGTTCATGCACCAGCTGTCCCATCTCTCCTCCCACCCCCAGGAGAAACTGTGGCTGAGCCTCATCTGGGTTCTAGGCTTGCCCCAGGGTACTGGGAAAGCCCTCCTAAGTCCTAAGGCTACCAATAAACTGTGAGTAAAATGTGGTTGACTTATTCTGGGTGGACTATGTATACTTTACAGTTCACTGGGGCGTCCTTGGCATACTTATCTTTTAAAAAAGTATTCGGGATAATTTTTATTATTATAATAGTAAAGACATTATAACAGGTGGAAAGTTGTTCTGTGTCTAATATTATGAAAGAATGTGAGTTTTATCTGTGGTTTGAAGATGAAGGAAGCATCTGGCCCACTGCCACTAAGCTGTTCTTTCCTAAGAGTTCTCTGCTCTACCTAGAGGAGGGACGAACTACCCCAAGCCTCTGGTCTTTTGCTTCCAGGGCTATAGTTCTGTATTTTATAACAATGCCACTATTGCTTTCTCAAAAACATAAACCAACAAAAAATTTACAGAAGCCCAGCCGACAGGGCGCCTGGGTGGCTCAGTTGGTTAAGCGACTGCCTTCGGCTCAGGTCATGATCCTGGAGTCCCGGGATGGAGTCCCATATCGGGTTCCTTGCTCAGCAGGGGGTCTGCTTCTCCCTCTGACCCTCCCCC